CTCAATCAGAGCACTCAGTTTTCCATGAAATTCTTGAAAGATTCCAAAACCTGCTCTCTTACTTATAGAATCGTCAACTGTTGAATTACTTTCATCCCAAAAGATAATTTCATCAGCCATTCAAAGTTCTCGTTGCACTCTTAAGTGCTATACAATAAAGAAATCGAAATGATAAACACAAAGGTAAACGGTAATCGAAATTAAAACATGACTACTTTCTAGGTATAACATTTTTGTCACGCCTGTACCGAAAGTTTGGTTTTCGACCACGGTTGAAGCGTTGGAATGTCATATTTATCCGTCCAGCGGGCGGTAAGATGGGAATCCCAAAGAGTGCGGGGGGAGGAGGGAAAATGGAAATCCCTATAATACCGTGTAGCAAAGTGGAAATTTCCAAGAGCGCTGGCCGCGCGCGTATTCCCAGCACAACCAAAAACTTAAATGTATACCACGGTCCGTAAAAAACATAAACTTTCGGTTAAATCTTATACACATATCACAACCTCCTTGCACGACGCATAAACATATAAACATATTTCGTTTTCACTTTTTCCACACAAGTGCGTTGGGTGTTACGGAAAAATTTGTTTTGCGCCATTTATATAATAATTCAAATTCGCGCAAGTGTGTCACGTCACCGTTCAAATTATCTTATTTCGTGTTCACCGAAGCACCCGATAACGGTGTCGGCGTGTGATGTTCAAGAATTTTCGATCGGCGCATTATCGCGATACGATTATCACCGGTCCGTGGACGCCATTACTCCGGAACTTTTTTCTGCCGCCACTTTCTTTGCGAACGTCCGACTCGTCGTTTTTCCCGTGCCACCAGCCGTGTGTTTTTGTGGTTGCAGCATAGCACGGTGGAATCGCCATCTCCGGGGACAACTTTGTGTGTGTGACGACTGTTCGAACCGTAGCTGACCCGTAATCGCGAAATTTTCTTTCGGTTATCTTCGTGCGCGGAGAAGCCAGTTATTGTAAATCGAGACCGACGCCGCTGATCAACCGATTCTTCAGCCGGTTGTGGCGTTCGTCGCACGTGTGAACACGGTCGCGTGGGCATAACCACTCGAACCCTAGACTGTCCAAGGTATCTTCCGTTATATTTGTTAAAAATATTATATTTATTTTTATACGATTCGTCTTGTTATATTATTACAACGCGTTCGGAGCATATGTGATTTTATTGTTTTTTTTGATTTATTATTACTTATTTTGTCAATATTGCTGTGGCGCTTTTGGCCCGTTTGTCCCAGCATTTGTTATAATTTCATTAATTATCCTTGTTAAGTATTCTTTTTTATTGTAAATGACGCGAGTACGTCACACAATCGAACCAGTGATGGTGTAACTGGAAGCGCGCAAAGAAGCATAAATACGAAATATGACAATCAGTATAGTAGTGAACCATTAATTTCACCATACATGGTTAAAACACAAATGCTGTTTCACTAAATCTATTGTCTGAAAAATCAAAAGAAAGATATATAATGGCTTATGAAAAACTTTTAAAATAGAGAAAAATAAATAAAACCAAATCGTTGTCGGAAAATGTGTTTCTTACAAATTTTAATATATTAACTACAGAAATTAAGCCGTCAACTCTATGCTCTATTTATTTAATGCATTATTTATTTTATTTATTAAAGCATAAAAAATATGAACCATAATATTAGCGTTGGTACTTATTTAAAATTACAAGTATTTTTAAAGAGAAAATCGAGAGAATTAAAAGTAAAAATTCTAAAGTTTTGATTACAACTGATATAAAAAATTCATTGACGAAACTCCTGATATTCAGTATTTAGTAAAAATTTGTATGAGATAAAATTTATTTGTTTATTTTGGCTATTTATTCTCCATTCATTTATTACGATATATGTAATATTCATTAGTGAAATATATATTACACATTAAACTTCTCTACTCAAAAACAAATTGTTCACGATCATTTACTATTAAAGGGGAGTTACATGATATTTTTAAGAAATACATAGATTTATGACCCACAAATTTAACGTTAAATAGATTTTTTTTTAGTTATAACAACGGTTAATGCATCAAGCAGATTATTAGAAAAAACAAAATTGGAAATAAGCCTAAAGAAATAGCAATATATTTAAATTTACTATATTCCCGAGCTGATACAGGTTTTTTTTCCGCCGAACTTCAGCAACATTACTCACTGATTCTGCTGGTGATGTTACAACTAGTGATGGGAATAATCAAATGGAATTTTAATAATCGAAATAATGGTAACAGACATATTTACCAAAAGCAAATCATTTAAATCAGCGGTTCCCAAACTTTTTAGTCGTGCGAACCACTAATGACGTAGAAAATTTTTGAGGCCCACCAATAGTTATATTTGTATAATTTGCACAGTTATTACAATTTATTTATTAAAAAACAATTATTTATCAAAAAATAGAACATTATTGAATCAGATTATTCAAGAGTTAAACAATTTAATGTAATTTTGGATTGTTTCCACGAGAGAATCAATATCGGGATTAAAAATGAAAAGTTTTAGCCTTAAATCACTCAAAATTCAATTTATTCCTACGTTTAATTTTTAAAAAGTAGAAAAAGCTCGTTCACATAGACACACAGGTTGTCGAAATATAGCCCACCAAGTTTCTAAGTAAAATTTTAGAAATTGCTGGTAAGTTTTGCCATTATTTTAACCAGAATGGTAAACGATTTTAGAATCTAATCACATGAGAGTTCAATCAACGAATCTTTTTCACTTGTTGACATTTAATATTTTCAAAATATATATAAGTAATGTTAATAGAATATGGTTTACGGCTTAGTACTACCAGCTCGCGGCTCACTAGTGGACCGTGGCCCATGGATTGGGAACCGTTGAATTAAATTATTCGAAAAATTGCGTGTTTTACTCATTTTCCATTGGGTACTAAGTTAAGAAGTCGACTGTCCATCAGTATTGTATTGTAATTATTGAAAATAATAAAATTACTGAATTTAACTGAAACTACAGGTACATATTTGGTAAGGGGCCTAGGTTTTATAATTTTTGAGAGGGCCTACTGGGATTTTTTCGGTATCCCGGTGGGCCAGTACGCACCTGTATGAGCTCAATTTTTTTGGTATCCATAACACAAAAACTATTTTATAAAGATCACTTATATAGAAATATATAATACACCAAAAATAAAGTTTATAAGGTTCGCGTAATAACGATTGTCATAAACTGGGGAGGAGCCAGTGTTTCCCAACATTTAATAAACTGTGAATATGTATTTAAAAGAGAATATTGTCTGATTTCTGAGTACAAAATAGTAAATAAAAATGTACTATTTACCAATTTTAGCATTTGATCATTGGACAAAGAATTGCCGACTTTTTAAAATTTCTTAGAGTGGGGCATTTGCCATAGTCTGCCCCCCTAAATTATGCCCCTGGTGCCTACTATACTTATCGGCCCTACCTTAACCAAACGTTTAGGTATATTTGATAAATTATTAGTCTTACGATTAAAATTATAGGGCCCCATATCTACAACATTTCGGGGGGGGGGGCACATCTATGTATACCATGATAGTTAAATCGTAAAACGCTCGTTTCTCGTTTCGTTCCCAACCGAGCCGCGAAAAGGTTTGAAAAACGGTTAAGATTAGAAGAGAAAAATAAAAAAATGAAAAAAAAATCGCGTTTATAGGTATGCTAATGCGATAAATTTTGCTCCGGGAAATCGTTTCACGACACACGTGTCCAAGAACGCTACAATAATAGTACACGAAAATATGCGAAACCCGCGATAGGTTTTTCGTTCCGTTCCGAGCGAATGACGTTTTGCGATCATGTAATGGAAAACGTTCAATAATCTTTTGATCTCGTGCACACGCAACGTTATTGTACTCAACCTTTCGTCTGGTGCGTGTGTGGTTCAAACGTCTGCGCGTTGAACTCGACTGAAAATAAAATATCGAATCGTGTAAAACGCGAATGAGTTATTCGTCCGGCGATTCGCAATAAATCAATTCGTCGTATCGTAATGTGTATTATTTATGTACAATATATTTCTCCGCCGCGACCGGGTTTATTTAGCGAAGCGCTTTCGACGTATTGCGCTCGGTACGAGAATAAAAAAAGGACCGTATACATATGTATGTATACCGTCGGCGGTCATGTTCACGGAGGGGAAAAAACGGAGAAAAAAAAAAACACTCACCGAAATCTTTGTGTGGAAAATAAAAAGGAAGAAGTAGAAATTGAAAGGAAGTCGTAAAATTAGTCGTCGCCGAGCGCCAATTGCTTTTTTCTCTTCTACCTCCCCAGTTTCCGATGCGGGTGGGCGATACAAAGTGCTTTCGATTCAACTCCGGTGCGCCGCCGGCGTGGTCTTACGTATAAAACGGTGGGCGGGCGGGACATGGCGCGCGGCAACGAGGGGACGTGAGGTGCGGTCAGAACTCGCGGCCTCGTACGCGTCTGTAGTGACTTTTCAACGGAAGATTTTAATTAATTGTCTATTCAACAAGTTCGAGCGTGGCCGCGGACGGGGCAGGGCCGACGGACGACCTGATGGAAACGGACCGGCAGCGGCGGGCGTTATAGTGGTCGCGAAAAGCCGCAGTGGGTTAGGTGGTCGAAGCGAGCCGGGAACGAAGGAAGTCGGCGAGAGAGGGTGACGCGAGCGAGGAGCACGGGGAGGAGGAACGCTTCATCTCGAGTTCTGGAGGGGTGTGGAGGTGGCCGCGGAAGGTTAGGGCTGTGTGCTTTATCGCCTACGGGGGCGGGCTCGCGCGCGCGTGTACGAGAGACAAAGAGACGTGGTCCCGTGGTGGTGGGGGGGACGCTTGAGACTTGGCACTGGACGGGCACCGGACGGGACGGTATCCACGTACGACGACGACCACGGTGATACGGATGGGGTAGCGCGCGCTGTGGACGTGTGCGGGCGGGTGACGACCGTTGATGGGCGGCCGCCGAGCGCCACGGTCGACGGGGAGGGCGTCAAAGTGCTCGACGCGTTAAGTCGCTGCTGCTGCTTGTGCCTGACGTACCACCGATGATCGGTCGGGCTTAACGTTTAAGCACATCGGACGTACCGCACGCACACGGTCCCCGGGCTCTGCACCCGGCGGTTGGCTGTCCCGACTGGATCATCATCGACTGCTGCCGGTGCCCGTTGCCGATCGCGCGCACGTCGCTCGCACCACAGGTGTAGCGCACACGTACGCCGCGCGCACACAGCCGTGCTACTCCGTCAGAGACGCACGCCGACGACACCGCCGCCACCGCCTTCACTGCCACCGCCGTCGACAGTCACTGAAAACGGTATTGTGATTCTATATATATATATATATATATATATATATTATTTTTTTTTTTAATTTTTATTTGCGTACAATGAAATCTGTTGCGCTTCCTTCCGCTGTGCAATACGTACGTTCAATTTTTCTTCATTTCGCCTCCGTTAAACACGTTACACCGGTGCAATTCGGTGGGATTCGAACTGCAAACGCGGTTTATACGTCTGTTTTTTTTTTCGGTATTTTCACCTTATCGGACGACAAAATTAACGTTTTCGGCAGACGCGTTCACCGGATGACGTTGTACGTAATCTATACGTGTTCGAAAGCAACGCCGTACGCAGAACATTTATTTTCCCGGGCGAAACGTTAAACAAATAAAACATCGCCGGATGATTAATAAAGTTCGAACGTTCGAAGAACCCTTTCGCTGTTCTCTCCACTCGCGCGCACGTAATCGAGTACGGAGGAGTGTTTTCCGTTTCGAGACGTATTGGATGTTGAGCACTTTGTTCGTGATGCGAAAAACGATTCGAGGCGTTTGGAAATAACGCCCGTTGGCGTTCATGTTTTGTGAACGTCACTCACTCGCTTTCCTTTTAAATGGAACGCGAACGACGTTTACGTTTTTCTGATGAATTCGACCGATTTTCAGAGTCGCTAAAACGTGTTTAGAATTTTTTTTTTTTATACATGCATAAACGATAAATATCGATTATAATATGTTTAATATCGGGTTATAAATATAAAGCGAAATACACCTTTTGTAACGGTCCCCCGTTGCCGTTATGAATGGCAGGTAGGTGATTCACGAGTATAAAATAAAAATAATGTACGGCCAAACGAACGCGAACGTGTTCACTTGAGAAACAAAAAACGTAAACGAGTTCAATTTTTAAACGGACGTTCCACTAAAAGTGTACGTCAACACGTCAGTGTTTATTTTTAATCTTATATTTTATCGTATCGATTCCACCTACTTATTATTTTTATTTTTTTCGTTCTTCGAATCGACCTCAAATGTACCCTCCTATACGTAGTATTGCATGTAGTCTGTGGACGTATCTGTTGCGGGTCACGGTTGATGATGAACAATTCTAAATCCGTAAGCAGCACGATTTTTTTTTCAGGGCGAGAACGGGACAGAACGGGGGAGTACGTTAAAGCGAAAAGAAATAAAAAAGTCCCAGCGCTGCGTTATCGGAACCGCCCGTAAAATGTTGTTTGTTTTTATATCGCGTACTATCTATTCCGTACTTGTTGCATTTCAGTTGTAATGAGCCGTTACAAGTCTTTTTTATCGAACGCCGTCGTCCGCCACACGTATGCGAGCATAAAACACGCGCAAACGTGTTTTTTATTTGAATTTTTTCCAACGAAAAACTTGCGCGCGTGGTAATTCTCTATTCGCGATGAACACGAGACGGATACGATTTCCACATGAAAACGTGCAGACGACGATCAGAGCAACGAGAGTTCACTTGTCTTGCTCGTATTGCAGACGCACATGCATTTAAGCTTTTACCGTTAGGATCACACGTGGAAACCCGTAAAAATCGTTAAGATAAACATCGTTCTTTTTTAAATCATTTGCACAGGTGGCTATTACCGCGGTTTCGTAGACTAAAACACCATGGGATAAAACGAATACGCAAGTACTTAATATTTCTTTTCTTATGATTTTCTTGCACACAACGATCGTTGTAAGAGTATGAACACGTGTGGAAATTAATTATGCGTAGAGTGGGTTATGTCGAAGAAAATTATTTTTTTTTATTCCGGAATCGCCAAAAGTCGGCAAAAAAATGCAATTTGATATCCTAAATGAGGAAAAATAATTAAAAAAATCCAAGTTTGTTGCTTTGGGCATCGGGCTAAAAGTTTGAAAAACCGTCAACATCTAAAAAAGTTTACAACTTTATGAACATTTAAAATTTACTTTATTATATACATTATAAAAATGCGGATCTTTTGCATTATACGTATACCACTATTTAAATTTAAATTTCATAGATTAATCAATCATTGAAGCAGCAAAGATTGTAAAATTACATAATCATAACTTATTAGGTACTAGGTTATGTTTATAAATTACACGAATTTCAAATACTCAGTAGAAATTCAATCATTCTATAAGGAAAATTATATTTTTGTAAGGTGCCCATAATCGTAAAGTTAACTGCCCTTTTGACTTTTCCTACTACCCAATTCGAGTCGTACCGCCCGTTAGAATAAGACCTGGATCATACCCTCCCGGGCCTTTCAGAAATTGGGCCTCGAGTCATATTTGCTCATATAACGCGAGTTGTTTGTTCGCTAATTTGTAAAACTTATATCCACCCGGGTCTTCAGGGTCTCAATCCGCCCCTGCGTGTTGCGTCCTGGTCGATCGACGTTCTACGTAGATGCGGAATGAAAACCGTTGATCATCACATGTACAACACATCACAACCGTACATCACACGGTTTGTCACACCGTCGATCGTGATTTATTTGTTTATTTTTCTTTTCGCTCGGACCCCTGGCGGTTGTTACGTGGCCATTTTCATTACGGTACATTATTGCGTTACGAGCTTTAAATGTGCTCGGAACAACTGCGGCGTGATTGCACCGCAGTAGTTGTGCATGATTAATTATGAAAGACGCCAATGGTATATTTAATATTTTGAACAATAAACACGTTATTTTATAATATGATCGTATACCAAAACAGCGTTATTCATAGCTTTTTTTTGTCTCTTGCATCCGTTACGCATTCCATACCGTTGGTTCTATAACGATACGGACACTGTTGTCCTGGACCAATTATTATTACATTTTAATTAATAAATATTTTTACTTAATTGTGCTCAATACATCCGAATTCGGATATCCTAATAGTAAATGATTGATATTTTACCGTTATAATTTAATATTACATTTTCTATTCGGGTAATTAATTTGAGGACCCAGGAGACGATCGCCCCTTTGCCTCCCTAGACAGTCCACCCCCGACTAGGCGTCTCCATGATCGTTCAAGAGGGGTAATACCCGTTTGACAAAAGCCGGTTTCGGTTGCAATAATTGTTGACTGTGCACAACACAACCGTCCGTTGTTCATTTTGTCGTAAAACTATAGTAATGAACAAACAATTACACTTCAATACGAGTTCCACCGCTATGTAATCCATTGTTCCGCGGAAAGGATTTTCATTCAAAAGAAACCTTACGGTTGGGAGTTTTGTTTTTGATTCGCGACGGTTTTCAATGTATTGGTACGTTAATTTCCAGACTTTTCAATGCACTAATCCGTGGTCGTGTTTCCAATTTATTATGCAACAATGAAAACACCTCGACAGTTAATAGTTAATCTTAAACAACGCGCGCAGCGATCTTGTAACGTTTGTTTTTTCTTTTTTTTTTTCTTAACATGGTTTCATACGCCAACAAAATGTTTTATTGATGTGTACAAATGGTAAAAGCCAAAAACATCAATCGGCCATCTTGAGAATCACTCTTTCCGGGACAGGTTTTTATTACAGCGTGGTCCGTACCACCTTGTCGTCTACCCATGACAACAATCGAAATCGATTGTGCGTTTTTGTAATTCTTCGACTGCACATACGAATGCCTCCTGTCTGAATTTTTCATTGCCATCGCATAGTACAAAAATATTATAATAATTCGCATTTGATCCGCAGCTTTTGTCCACGGTCGAGGCACGCGATAAGTGACGTTCCGCTAAGTCGGTGGAACGCAATGGGTACTTTTTACGTGTACGCCTGTTCCGGGTTTAATATAAAAAGGGCTTATTTGCCGATGATCACCTTGCGACAAAATTAAAAATCAATAAATTTGATGAATATATTTTATATATATTGTTATAGTTAAAAATATACACATTTATGTGGTGATAAGAAGAAAAAATTGCATGCATCAGCCGGGAATCGAACCCGGGCCGCCCGCGTGGCAGGCGAGCATTCTACCACTGAACCACTGATGCTTATGTGCATATGGGATCGCAGTTATTGGCATTTTAACTGCACAATTACTAATTGGACATAAATCTAATAGGTGATGAAAATCCCATCCACAAATCCCTCAAAAATGTTTTTTTTTCATGCGTAACAAAAAGAAAAACTTCAATTTTTTTTTAATTGATCATTAATAAATCTTGACTTTTTATCTACTAATATAAACAATCTACATCATACAGAATCGGTTAACATTTCTTGTATAAACAAACGCACACTAATAATTGCATTATATCTTGTATCAATCGATAATATTATACAAATGACTGAAACGTTATATTTGTTAATGCAAAAAAATCGTTGACCGTCGCACGTCATTGTTTCATTTCTGCAAAAAAAAAAAAAAACATTAGTTATTTACCAATTAGTAGGTAGTTATTTATCATGAGTTTAAAAATATAAATTTTGATCATGAGACATTAAATCATTTAGATCAAAATAACTGTCCAATAAATAATTGTACGTTCTAGTTGTATTGCCAATTTCTGTCGCTACAGCAGAAAGAAGTTTTTCCTATTTAAGGCTGTTTAAATCGTGGTTAAGGTTAAACATGGGATAAAAAAGATTGAAAAAATCGGCTCTCCTGAAATATCCATTAGGATACAAATATTGACAGCAAAAATAACATAAGAAAATATAATTAATAGATTTTCTAAGGGAAAACAGCGAAAACTTGACTTTGAATTATAAAAATAAAGTATAATATTAATTTGTAAAATAATAATTGTATGTAATTTTATTTCTTTAATTGTTATAAAATTGTAATTTTTTCCTAACGTTACAAATTATTGTACCTTCATCCTATTTGTGTAAAATAATCTCCCCGTGAAAAATTTCTGTATCCGTCCCTGTCGTTAGTTGAACTTTTTTTCTCTCACGGATTTTCATTCGTCTTCAACGAACCGATTCGATCATGATGTTGCTTGACTTTTTTTTAGCGTACACAGGATATTATTAAAATTTTTATTCAGCTTAAAAAAAATGATCAACACTGATCCGTTGGGAAAATATT